AGATGACGAGCACATTTTTATGCCCAATTCATGCAAAACTCCACGTAATCCCAAGGGGTTCACATACTTTTTCTTGCAAACTGTATATCTATTGCAAATTGCTTTTGTTATCATTTTTTGCTCAGAGCAAATCAGTTTCATCGATCGACATACCGATCAGCCATAACATTCTGACCACTGGCAGGTAAGATCAATACCATTGATCATCCCGCTACAATGACATCCAGAAGTGGGTGGGATATATTAGGTGGCAAGTGAACATGTTGTCCTTGAAGTTGATGTGTTGAAAGCAGAAAAACTGGACAAATGTAAGGATTTAAGAGATTTGACAAGGCCCAAAACTGCAGCTATTATGGGTTGTTCCCGGTCTGCAGTGGTCAGGACCGACCAAAAGTGGTCCAAGGAAGGAGAACCGGCGACAGGGTCAAGGGCGGCCAAGGTTCATTGATGGAGGGGGGGAGCTCATTGATGGAGGTGGGGGAAAGGCTAATTGATGGAGGTGGGGGGAAGGCTCATTGATGGAGGTGAGGAGCGAAGGCTCATTGATGGAGGTGGGGGAGGGAAGGTTCTGAATATGTGGGGAAGGAAAGCTAATTGATTATTGACAAAGGTGGGGAGGGAAGGCTCATGATGGAGGTGGGGGGGAGGGAAGGCTCATAGATGGAGGTGGGGGAGGGAAGGCTCATAGATGGAGGTGGGTGGAGGGAAGGCTCATAGATGGAGGTGGGTGGAGGGAAGGCTCATAGATGGAGGTGGGGGAGGGAAGGCTCATAGATGGAGGTGGGTGGAGGGAAGGCTCATAGATGGAGGTGGGGAGGGAAGACTCATAGATGGAGGTGGGGAGGGAAGGCTCATTGATGGAGGTGGGGAGGGAAGGCTCATTGATGGAGGTGGGTGGAGGGAAGGCTCATTGATGGAGGTGGGGGAGGGAAGGCTCATTGATGGAGGTGGGTGGAGGGAAGGCTCATTGATGGAGGTGGGTGGAGGGAAGGCTCATTGATGGAATTGGGGAGGGAGGTCATTGATGGAGGTGTGGAGGGAAAGCTCATTGAAGGAGGTGGGGAGGGGAGGCTCATTGATGGAGGTGAGGAGGGGAGGCTTATTGATGGAGGTGAGGAGGGGAGGCTCATAGATGGAGATGAAGAGGAGAGGCTAATTGAAGAAGGTGGGGAGGGAAGGCTCATTGATGTAGGTGGGGAGGTGAAGGCTCATTGATGGAGGTGGTGAGGGAAGGTTCATTGATGGAGGTGGGGAGGGAAGGCTTATTGATGGAGGTGAGGAGGGAAGGCTCATTGATGGTGGTAGGGAGGGAAGGCTTACTGATGCAGGTGAGGAGGGAAGGCTGGAAGTAGATCATCTCGCTGAGACACCTTAGAGGTTGGACAGCTTCTTGCCTGATTACTTGGACAAACTTACTCTGTCTTGTTTTTGGTGAACCTTCAACTCCTCATATTAATCTCCCGTTTAAGCCATGCCTCTGATGTTAAAAGGTGACCTCTGATGTGATGGGGGGCCTCTGTTGTGAGGACCTCTGATGTAATGAGGGGACCTCTTATTTGACAGAAGGACCTTTGATATGATGAGGGAAACCTCTGACTTGAAGTGGGACCTCTGATGTGATGGGAGGACCTCTGATGTGATGAGGGGACCTCTGATGTAATGGGAGTATCAATGATTTGATGAGAGGACCTCTGATGTGACGGGAGGACCTCTGATGTGACGGGAGGACCTTTGATGTGATGAGGGAACCTCTGATGTGAAGGTGGACTTCTGATGTGATGATTCGGTGGGGGCGTCTGATGAGGGGACCTCTGACATGAAGGGGGACCTCTGATGTGACGGAAGGACCTCTGATGTGATGAGGGGACCCCTGATGTGATGATAGCACCTCTGATGTGATGGGAGGACCTCTGATGTGACGGGAGGACCTTTGATGTGATGAGGAAACCTCTGATGTGAAGGAGACTTCTGATGTGATGGGAGAAGCTCTGGTGGTGAGGGGACCTCTGATGTGATGAGGGGACCCCTGGTGTGATGGGAGGACCTCTGATGTGATGAGAGGACCTCTGATGTGACGGGGGGACCTCTGATGTGATGAAGGAACCTCTGATTGATGTGAAGGTGGACTTCTGATGTGATGGGTGTGGGGGGGGGGGGGTCCCTGATGTGATGAGGATACCTCTGAAGTGAAGGGGGACCTCTGATGTGATGGGAGGACCTCTGATGTGATGAAGGGACCCCTGATGTCATGGGAGGACCTTTGATGTGATGAGAGAACCTCTGATGTAAAGTGGACTTCTGATGTGATGGGTGGGGGGAGTCTGATATGATGAGGGACCTCTGATATGAAGGGGGACTTCTGATGTGATGGGGGGGGGGGCATCTGATATGATGAGGGGACCTCTGAAGTGAAGGGAGACCTCTGATGTGATGGGGGGACCTCTGATGTGAAGGGGGACCTCTGATGTGATGGGGTGCACTGATATGATGAAGGAACCTTTGACATGAAGGGGATCTCTGATGTGATAGGGGGGATCTCTGATGTGAAGGGGGACTTCTAATACACAGTTCATTTCATGAAGGTGGTTGTATGTGCAGGTTTTCCATTGATAAGTAACATTTACATTTCTCTTCCATGTTAATCGGGGGTGGGGGGGGGGCTCCCGTGATATAATCCAGTATAATAAATCATATCATGGATTTTCTGGATGGTTTTTCTCGTCTCATTACGTTGGGTTAAGGATTCTTGTTTAATATTTCCATTGTTGGTCATTTTCCACTTCACATTACATTTTTATACTTGACTCATCCGAAGATGATGAGCTCGCCGGCACATCCATTTCTAAAATTGTTTAGGACTTTTTTCACTCACACATTTTTTTTCTGCACATTGATATAATATTAGGATGAGGGGGGGGGGGGGGGCGGTATAATAACACGTCTTATACATATTGTTACTTTGTGATTGCTGTAGTTATTATAATTACTATCTGGAGGTTTGTAGTAGTCAAGAGCCAGATCTGCCCCCAGCTGTGAAATTGTTCTTCCTGCCATGAGAGCCGCTTCATTAAACCTGTGTTAGGGGGGTATGTCATTGTTTTATCCGCGGGGCCGCCGGGGTGGGGGGTATGTCATTGTTTTATCCGGGGTGGGGGGGGGGGGGTATGACATTGTTTTATCCGGGGTGGGGGGTATGTCATTGTTTTTATCCGGGGTGGGGGGGGGGTGTCATTGTTTTATCCGGGGTGGGGTGGGGGGTATGTCATTGTTTTATCCGGGGTGGGGTGGGGGGTATGTCATTGTTTTATCCGGGGTGGGGTGGGGGGTATGTCATTGTTTTATCCGGGGTGGGGTGGGGGGTATGTCATTGTTTTATCCGGGGTGGGGTGGGGGGTATGTCATTGTTTTATCCGGGGTGGGGGGGGGGTATGACATTGTTTTATCCGGGGTGGGGGGTATGTCATTGTTTTATCCGGGGTGGGGTTATGTCATTAATATGGAATCCGGGGTGAGGGGGGTATGTCATTGTTTTTCGGGTTTTTTATAACTCTATATGCAAATGTTTGCTAATAGGAATGTAGAGATTTGTTTTTGAACGCTTTATTGGCACTTTACACCTTATTGGTTCTTACTTTATATAAAAAAACTATTTTTTTTTTCTCTTTTGGGTGTAGAAAGCTGTACAAATGGAAACATATAAACCAAAAGAATACACCACCATTTGGCAATCTATGTTACATAGTTAGTCTGGCTGAAAAAAGACAAAAGTCCATCCAGTTCAACCATAGAAAAAAGTTATAATCCTCCACCCACAGTTGATCCAGAGGAAGGCAAAAAACCCAGCAAAGTACGATCCAATTTGCTCCTGCAGGGAAAAAAATTCCTTCCTGATCCCCCGAAAGGCAATCTGATATTCTCTGGATCACCTTTCCCTATAAATGTTAAAAATAAAAGTCCAGAGATTGATAGACTTCTCTGCTGAGGAAAAACAACCTGCTGAGCCTCCATCAGCAGAGCTGGCAACAGGGCCAATCATTACTGAAATCTGCCCAGCACTGGTAACCTCTTCTGGGCTCCACGGACAGGAGATGGTGAACCCCTATCCCCAGACACCAGTTCCAGAGGCTGGGGATTTGATTGACTTTTCTGCTGAGGAGGAACCAGCCGGCGCGCCTCCAGCAGAAGAGCTGGCACCAGGGCATGGCGTTGCTGGCCTCTGCCCACAACAATCAGCACCGCAGGAGCTACAGGCTCCTGTATCCTGTGTTTCCAAGAAAGAATCCAGGACTTTCCTACAGCAATCCACTGAGCTGGCCACAACCAACTCTTGGGGGAGTCTATTCCACATTCTCACAGCTCTTACTGTGAAGAAACCTTTCTGTGTTTGGAGATTAAAGATCTTTTCCTCCAGACATAAAGAGCACCCCCTTGTCCTCTGTGATGACCTCAGGGGGAATAGCTCACATCCTAGTTACAGTAATTCAGAGAGAGGAATGATCTCACGTCTCCACACCATTATCGAACATATCAGATCTGCAGAGCAATGACAAGATCGGGGATGAAAAGCACAACCACAGAAAGCATGTTGGCTCCTCCCTGGTATGACAATCGCATCATTTCCATATTCTATTAAATCCTGGATGTCTTTCACAACTTTAAAGCGATAGTTCATCTTTACATCACGTCCGAAAAGTTACTCATGTATTCCAGCTTCCCTAGTATATTAACTCCTTTACGGCCCTTTAAGGGGTTTGTGACGCTCGGAGGCAGGGCAGGGTTTAGGGTCATGTGATTGGCTGTTACAGTGGTCACATGATTGGAAAGCTCCCGACCGCATGTAGCAATCGGGAACTTTCTGTGAGGCGCCAGTAAATGTGCCTGGAGCGCGCAGGGCATTGGATATGTAAATATGCAGCCTCTCGGTGGCAAGGCCCAGCTGCTGAGAGGCCTCATACACTATATTGCCAAAAGTATTGGGCCAGCCCTCCAAATCATTGATTCAGGTGTTCCAATCCCCTCCCAATCATGTGATTCAGGAGTTCCAATCCCCTCCATATCATGTGATTCAGGAGTTCCAATCCCCTCCAAATCATGATTCAGGTGTTCCAATCCCCTCCCAATCATGTGATTCAGGTGTTCCAATCGCCTCCATATCATGTGATTCAGGAGTTCCAATCCCCTTCCAATCATGTGATTCAGGTGTTCCAATCCCCTCCCAATCATGTGATTCAGGTGTTCCAATCCCCTCCCAATCATGTGATTCAGGTGTCCCAATCCCCTCCATGGACACAGGTGTATACAATCAAGCCCCTAGGCATGCAGACGGCTTCTACAAACATTGGTGAAAGAATGGGTCGCTCTCAGGAGCTCAGTGACTCCAAGCGTGGTCCCGTGATAGGTGGTCACCTGGGCAATAAGTCCATCCGTGACATTTCCTGGCTACTAAATATTCCACGCTCAACTGTTAGTGGGATTATAACAAAGTGGAAGCAACTGGGAACAACAGCCACTCAGCCATCAAGTGGTAGGCCACGTCACATGACAGGGCGGGGGGTCAGCGCATGCTGAAGCGCACAGTGCGCAGAAGTCACCAACTGTCTGCAGAGTCAATAGCTAAAGACCTCCAAACTTGGTGTGGCCTTCAGATGAGCCCAACAACAGTGCGTAGAGAGCTTCATGGAATGGGTTTCCATGGCCGAGCAGCTGCATCCAAGCCTTCCATCACCAAGTGCAATGCAAAGCGTCGGATGCCGTGGTGTAAAGCACACCGCCACTGGACTCTAGAGCAGTGGAGATATGTTCTCTGCAGTGACAAATCACACTTCTCTGCCTGTCAATCCAATGGACATGTCTGGGTTTGGCAGTTGACAGGAGAATGGTACTTTCCTGACTGCCTTGTGCCAATTGTAAAGTTTGGTGGAGGGGGGATTATGGCGTGGGGTTGTTTTTCAGGGGTTGGGCTTGGCCCCCTAGTTCCAGTGAAGGGAAGTCTTAAGGCGTCAGCATACCAAGACATTTTGGACAATTTCATACCCCCAACTTTGTGGGAAGAGTTTGGAGATGGCCCCTTCCTGTTCCAACATGACTGCCCCCCAGTGCACAAAGCAAGGTCCATAAAGACATGGAGGAGCCAGTTTGGGGTGAAGGAACTTGACTGTCCTGCACAGAGTCCTGACCTCAACCCCATAGAACACCTTTGGGATGAATTAGAGCGGAGACTGCGAGCCAGGCCTCCTCCCCCGACATCAGTGCCTGACCTGACAAATGTGCTTCTGGAAGAATGGTCCAACCTTCCCATAGACACCCTCCTAAACCTTGTGGACGGCCTTCCCAGAAGAGTTGGAGCTGTTATAGCTGCAAAGGGCGGGGCCAACTCAATATTGAACCCTACGGACTAAGACTGGGGGGCCATTAAAGGTCATGTATGTGGAAAGGGCGGGGCCATCTCAATACTAAACCCTACGGACTAAGACTGGGGGGTCATTAAAGGTCATGTGTGTGGAAAGGGCGGGGCCACTCAATATTGAACCCTACGGACTAAGACTGGGGGCCATTAAAGGTCATGTGTGTGGAAAGGGTGGGGCCAACTCAATATTGAACCCTACGGACTAAGACTGGGAGGCCATTTAAAGGTCATGTGTGTGGAAAAGGCGGGGCCAACTCAATACTGAACCCTACAGACTAAGACTGGGAGGTCATTAAAGGTCATGTGCGTGGAAAGGCCGGCATCTCAATACTTTAGTCAATATAGTGTATCTCCTGAGACCCGAGAAAACATTTATTATCCTGTGTTGCCTATCCTGCTTTTATTTACTGATTTATTTTATGCCTCTATACAATGCAATCTTCAAACAAACCGTCAGAGGAGCGTGTCAGAGGAATGCATTCTGAAAAAGGCTAGATACACACGATACCTTTTAGTCGAAAAATGCTGTGCCAAAGTATATAGTGTATGGCCCTCTGCATCACAGCAAGCACGTCCACCACCTGTGCATCTCTATGCGACAGGAACCCAGAACCGCCGCAGGGAACGGCTATCAAACATCGCTCCCTCCTGCTTCAGAATGCGGATACTTTTATTTTCATTTTAAAGAGCAGAGAACCTCTATCAAATCTCACACGAAAAAAACCTTTGATGGTCCCAACCTACCCCTCGGCTACCCATGATTAATAAAATCAAGTATATCCTTTTCCTGTACGACTAATAAACCCATTAGCTGCTCAAACAAGAGATAAGACGTGGAGGAAAGAAAAATGCCGCTCTAAGCTGAACAGAAAGGTCTCGTTTATTAAAGGAGTCATTTTTACCCCGGGTTCAATTTAAACATCTATCAGTTTTAGAGGAAATATCTACTGGTATAAAATCCCGTGATGCTAATTGGGTACTTGAAGTGAACACATGGTGGTCTGTAGATCAGACGTTCATTTAAATGTTGCACCCTCCTAGTCAGGTGCTAGAAGTCAGGCAGATTTCGTTTTTTTGGCCTCTGTCATGGTGTGCTGGATCCATCCTGCCTTGTATCAACGGTTCAGGCTGGTGGTGTCATGGTGTGGGGGAGATTTTCTTTGCACACTTCGGGCTCCTTAGTGCCAATTGAGCATCATTTAAACGCCACGGCCTTCCCAAGTATTGTTGCTGACCATGTCCACCCCTCTATGACTCCAGCGTCCCCATCTTCTCATGGCTCCTTCCAGCAGGATAATGCACCATGTCACAAAGCTCAAAAATTGGACAATAGAAGATCAGAAAAACGTTGCCTGGTCTGATGAATCTGGATTTCAGCTGTGACATTCAGATGGTAGGGTCAGAATTTGGCATAAACAACATGAAAGCATGGATCCATCCTGCCTTGTATCAACGGTTCAGGCTGGTGGTGGTGTCATGGTGTGGTGTCATGGGTTGTGGTGGTGGTGTCATGGTGTGGGGGATCCATCCTGTCTTGTATCAATGGTTCAGGCTGGTGGTGGTGGTGTCATGGTGTGGTGGATCCATCCTGCCTTGTATCAATGGTTCAGGCTGGTGGTAGTGGTGTCATGGTGTGGGAGATCCATCCTGCCTTGTATCAATGGTTCAGGCTGGTGGTGGTGGTGTCATGGTGTGGAGAATCCATCCTGCCTTGTATCAATGGTTCAGGCTGGTGGTGGTGGTGTCATGGTGTGGGAGATCCATCCTGCCTTGTATCAATGGTTCAGGCTGGTGGTGGTGGGGTCATGGTGTGATGGATCCATCCTGCCTTGTATCAACAGTTCAGGATCCATCCTGCCTTGGTGGTGGTGGTGTCATGGAGATTTTCTCTGCACTAGCAAGGTGGACCTCATAAAAGTGGCTTGTGGGTGTATAAGGGTTAGAGCAGAGAGTAGCATGGTCCTTCGCCCCTGGAGATTGACAAAGCCAGGAAGTGCTGCTAAATCTTCCAAGGCTTAGGAGAAGCCTTAAGACGTTTTGGATGATTCTAGCTTACCAAAGAGCAGAAGAGTCACCGCCAAAGTCGCAGGAACATTACAGCAACAACTGGAGAGGATCTTCCTGGGATACATTGTGTAACACCCTTTAGTGTAACATAGGGTTTTTTTTTTGTACAGTTAGAGGCCTAGGTATGAGTCAGCCTGAGGGTTCAGGGAGTCAGTGAGGTTATTTCAGATTAAGGCTGAAGGGCTCTGCAGGTCAGTTCTCTGCTACATCCCCCTTCTCTAGAAACTTGGAAACGTTTCTAGAAGCAGTGGGCGGGGGTGAGGAGAGGCTGATCTGCACACTTAGGGGAACCTGGCCAATCCCCAGGCAGGAGGCCTGGCATGGTGGCTAGGTCAGCAATTAAATATGAGAGAGCCTGGTCAGCAGTGGAGTCGGGAGGAAGATGGAGGGAGGAGGTGCTGTTGATTTGGAGTCTGGGAGGGGGCCTCAGAGGAGGGTGGTCTGCCTACAGGCTGATGATGGACAGAAGGACCTCCACTGTCCCACAGTCTACCACGGAAAGACAGCCTGTCAGCAGGGAAGAAGCCAGCCCAGCATAAGGCATGAAAGCAGCTTCAAAACACTAAAGCTATAGGAACGGGGCAGTGTGAGAACTTCTACACACCCTGGGCCAAAGAAGGGAGGGGGTGGTCAGGTGCAATATCCGACTAGTTCTCCCCGGGACTACGTTTTTTTTGTGTGTCTCGGAATCCCTTGACCTGGGATATTCTCAGGACAACCGGGAGGATGAGGAGATTTTCATCTAGGGTCTGAGGAGGTTCAATTAAGGGGACCAAGTGCTCCTTACAAAGACTGTGTGCTGATCTGGCAGAAGGGAGGAGCCACTTCTGAAGGAGTAGAGAGCCTAGGATCCATTTTGTGCTGTTTGCTATTTTGCCAAATGAAACAAGAGGTTTGTCCTCCAAATCGTTCAGTTCCATTGGTCATCCCATATACCCCTAGATCCCATTAAAGTTGTTACCCCTAATAAAACAACAAAAACCAAGCTCATGGACTGCTTACTGACATTGGATGAAAGTGTGGAAAATGTGTGTTGCCTGGCTGTGCAGAGCTCAGGGGGAAAGCAAAAACTCAGCAGCCCTCAAGAGGGTCGCACTACACTTGTGTCAGAGTCAGCTGAAGTGAAGGAAGCCTTCAGCCTGCCTGGATCACAGTGAGTAGGCCTGTTGTTGTGCTAATCTGTAGGCCACATGGATCCTGAGAGAGAGAGACTGTTGCTTGTGCACCCCTTTTGAACAGAAGGACTGTTCCGGACCAGGGCTTTGCCTTAGAGGAAGCCCCCCCCCCGTGCTAAAAGCTGTGGCCATCCTTTTGTGGAGGATACTCTGCTTTACTCTGGTCAGCTGTTTAATGTAGTGTCCTTATTCCTTAGTTCTGGGCATCCCAAAGCTTTTTCCCAATCCCTATCCCAGTTCTACAAAAGCAATAAAACAACAAAAAAAAAGAACATCATGTGCCTGATCACTGTCTGAGGACTGGGTGGGATTTACCGCATCTAGTCGAAAATACCTTGTGCCTGGCTGCTTGTACCATTAAAAGTTCGGAACCTGGGACCAATCACTGTGCTCTGCGCTACATAAAATACAACTACGGAAAGGTAAAAAAGAAAAGATATGAACCTGCTAAAGGGGCCCAGGGGCCCTGCACTGTCTGGCTACATAGTGATTTATGTGGGTAGCAATAGCATTTGAATAAAATGAATGTATACATGGTTAGCCAGGGACTATGAGCATCCTACAACGGATGGTCAGAGACTGAGATATCCTACAACGGATGGTCAGAGACTGAGATATCCTACAAGAGATGGTCAAAGACTGAGATATCCTACAACGGATGGTCAGAGACTGAGATATCCTACAAGAGATGGTCAAAGACTGAGATATCCTACAGGAGATGGTCAGAGACTGAGATATCCTACACGAGATGGTCAAAGACTGAGATATCCTACAAGAGATGGTCAGAGACTGAGATATCCTACAATGGAGATGAGTCCTACAAGAGATGGTCAAAGACTGAGATATCCTACAACAGATGGTCAGAGACTGAGATATCCTACAAGAGATGGTCAGAGACTGAGATATCCTACAACGGATGGTCAGAGACTGAGATATCCTACAAGAGATGGTCAAAGACTGAGATATCCTACAAGAGATGGTCAGAGACTGAGATATCCTACAAGAGATGGTCAAAGACTGAGATATCCTACAACAGATGGTCAGAGAC